CCCATTGGTAAACTTGCCCTATTTATCTCTAAGAATTGTGGTAAGAGTCAAAGGAGACAATTCATGTACATGCAAGCACTTTCAAGTATAAGGAATGTTTATGGCAAAGCCTAACTCTGCTCAGCCTTGGCCTAATTACGCTGATTTTAGGCTCTTAAGCACAGGCCTTGCTGGCTGACCTCTCAAAGGTCCCCTTTGTTATCTCCTCCCTCCACCACTGCCAGTGTAGCATTCTGTTCTCAGAGAGCAGAAGATTCTCAGGTCTAGAGAAAACTAGACCTTTGTTGCAATAGTTCCAGACCAACCAACTCCAGGGCCAGGTTGCTCCCAGAGGCACAGAAGTCCTCTCAAGACGGACAGAGCAGACTTACTTGCTGTCTGGGTATTACTCAGCCCCTCCGTCTTTATTTCTCTGTGTCACAGAGCAAATTCCTGGATGACTATTAGAGTGGTGGATGGGGCAATGCAACTTTCCCAAAACATGAATAGGCATCAGAGAGAGTCAGCTAGGCGTGATTAGAATGTGTCACTAAGGCCAATGTGTGTCAACAGAGAAGCAGGTGTTGGCTGGACCTGACCCCTCCAGCTAAATCCAGGAGCCAGGCAATCAGGAAAACTATCCTAAAGCATGAACAAGATGCCCATGGGCTAGAAAAATGAGCAATTCTGGAAGGGGACTCAAATGTTATCATACAATCAATACTGGGGATAACACTCAAGTCTAAAACAATGATTTGCAATGCTCATTGTGTGTCACTTGGCCCCAGCCATATCCCAGGGGAGTACTGGTGGGGGGAGGGGGTAACAAACCCTTCCACACAGGCTGGGAAAGAAAAGCTCTTTTTGTCACCATTATTCAGTTACAAACAATGGATGCAAAGTGACTCCCTGGGAGAGAAACATGTTGTTAGTGGGGAGTGGCTTAAAGGAGACTCTAAGCAGGTCCCAGAATAAATTCCCCCATAAATCCAAAGAATGCTAATGGTGAGGAGCCACTGCTGGTCTCTTTTTTAAGCCTCTTGCCTCCCCTGGAACAGAGTTGTTCTTGGCACTTGAAAATAAATGTGAGAAGGGAATCAAAACACGAAGCCTGAGAAAAGAATCCAGAAGAAACTGAAGGCAGGGACTTGGTGATAAGGAAGAAAGATTGGTCCATGCGATGATGACAGAATCAACAGTTAACTGTACCTGAGATAGCATTTTGGCTCTTAAAATGAAGATACACACAAGTCACTTGCTTGGAGGTAACCAAGCTGCAGAAATGCAGATGAGCCCTTCCCCTCAGAGGGTGAAGGGGCAGGCCCAGCCCAGCAGTGGGAAGCCCCAGGACAGGCCTCTAGAAGCAGGAGTCACAGTTCCTGCCGCCACCTTGCACCTATCCTGAAGGGACACCACTTGACCAAACCAGCCAGGCTTCATTTGGTGACATAAAAGCTCTATTCCTAGTGAACAACAAGCACAGAAAGAACAGGTAGTCCCTGACTTACGGTGAGGTTGAGATTCTGTTCCTATGACTCACAGTGAGTTGATTCTGACGTAAGTTGAATATCTAATATTTTTTCGTTATTATTGCCTATTATTATCTTTATAATTAGTATCTTTTATTAGTATCTTTATAAATCCATTCTCTATTTCTCTTTAGGGGTTGGAAACACTACAATTAAACTTACAGATATATTTTAATACATTCATAGGTGCATAAAAAAAAACACAAATAAAAATGTACATCTATGATGAAGAGTTGGGTGATGTTGTCATCTTGTTGCTTGCAGTAATAAATGCACTTGTGGAAGGTTCTGGATTAGCCGGATTATGCCTGGGGATAAGGATGCATTTCTAGCCAGAAAATTAGTAAGAGTTGTCTGTATGGTCCTTTTATTTTTTCTTTTTCTTCATGTATTTCATGGTAACATTGCTTCCTGAATCTGCCTCTTGACTGTAGCAAAGCTGTCAGCATTTAGGTCCATGTTTTCAAGCAACTGAAGTCCATGATTTAGTTTAGTAAACTAAATCTATACAGTGTTTGGAACAGTAAGTCATAAAATTGAACATCTGTGAGTGAACAGATCTGAGAAACATCATCAAATTACATGCTGCACCATTTTATGTAGTACACATTACTAACAATAAGATTTACCGTAAAAAACAGACAAACAAACAAACAAAAAAAAAAACTGGGGAGAGTTATGAGGGCAGTCTTGAAAGCAGTTCATGTAATTCAAATATGTCATGTTAGGGATTTCCTGTAGTACAACACGGGAGAGAGTTTGAGAGAGTGTTCCTTTCCCTCCACTTTCAATGAAACAGGACTGCCTGTCAGGGGGCAGACGTGGGTTCTACAAACAGGGTTCTTGGCTGTGGACTGAAAGATTGGATGTTTGCATCCATCCAGAGGTGCCTCGTAAGAAAGGCCTGACAATATACTTCTGCAAGATCTTTGTTGTTAATGTGCCATCGAGTCAGGCCCAGCTCATAGTGACCTTTCCTTAGGTTTCCAAGGTGGTATCACTATAGAAATAGATTGCTGAACCTTCCTTCCAAGGAGTGGCTGGGGGGTTTGAACCACCAGCCTTCTGGTTAGCAGTCAAATGCCTTAGGCACTATGCTACCAGAGCTCCCAGTGAAAACCCTGTGGAGCACAGTTCTACTCAGACACACATGGGTTCAGAATCAACTCAACAGCAACTGGTTGGGTGGCCGATTGGTTTAACTCAGTGTGACTTTGGTAAGCTTGATGACCAGCAGAATTGTTTAGAATTTCTTCCCCTAGAAACAGAACCAAAAGATTGAAGTTGTCAAGGGTTTCATATTACTTGCTTCTACAACCAACACCAATGGAAGCAGCAGTTAAGACATCAGATGACATATTGCATTGGGCAAATCTGCTGCAAAAGACCCCTTTCAAGTGATGAAGAGCAAAGATGTCTCCTTGAAGACTAAGGTGCACCTAAGCCAAGCCATGGTATTTTCAATCACCTCCATGCATGTGAGAGCTGGACAATAAATAAGGAAGACTGAAGAAGAGTTGATGCTTTTGAGTTGTGGTGTTGGTGAAAAATGCTAAGAGGGCTATGATCTGCTAAAAGGACTAACAAATCTGTCCTGGAAGAAGTACAGCCGGAATGCTCCTTGGAAGCAAAAATCACCAGATTTCATCTCACCTACTTTGGTCATGTTGTCAGAAGGAACCATTACCTGGAGAGGATATCATGCTTACTCAAGTGGAGGGTCAACAAAGAAGGGGAAGGCCCTCAACGAGATGAATAGAAACAGTGGCTGCAACGATGGGCCCAGGTATAGCAAGGATCATGAGGGTGGCACAAGACTGGGCAGTGTTTCGTTCTGCTGTGTATGGGGTTGCTATGAGTTGGAGATGACTCAACACCTAACAACAACAACAACAACTTCAGCAAAGGGCAGTCAGTGATTGGGCATCAGCTTGCTGTTATCCACCCTTTGTACAAGATTTTAAGATTACAGACAGAAATACCAGATTCCTCTCAGCTAATTTCATATCTAATCCCTAGCGGTCATGTGCAAACTCGAGTTGATAGCATTTGGGTACGTAATACACTGTTCTCTGCCTTGGCAAGAGTAGTCACATTACAGACACTGCACATTTCTGCTAAATCATCACTGTGTCCACATGAGTCACCAGGCAAGATGGCAACATTCACCCAACTATGAAATCCCTTTACTCAGAGAGGACTCATAGGCTAATACCCACTGTTTAAGCAAACAGCTTTCTCCCAGTGGCTTGAGGCAGTTTAGGACCTGCTGGTTCATTCTTTATCATGTTGCTTGAGGGGAGAACAAAATGTGGGGAAAGAGGAAAGGTAGACATGATTATTTGCATTTTATATGGGAAAACTAACCTTCAAGCAAACCCTAAAGTGAAATGGATACACATTTATGAGTCAGACTCTACTCATGGAACAGCCAAAATTTTCTAGTCTGAATCCTGATGTTATTGTTAGGTGCTGTTGAGTTGGCACCCACTCATAGCAAGCCTATGTACAACAGAACAAAGCACTGCCTGACCGAACACCATCTTCACAATCCTTGCTATGCTTGAGCCCATCGTTGCAGCCACTGTGTCAATCCATCTCAGCAAAGGTCTTCCCCTTCTTTGCTAACCCTCTACACACCTTAGTCTTCAAAGAGACATCTTTGCTTCTTAATAGTTTAAAGAGGTCTTTTGCAGCAGATTTTCCCAGTGTAATACATCTGATTTCCTGGCTGCTTCCATGGGTGTTGTTGAATGTGGATCCGAGTAAAATGAAATCTCTGACAACTTCAATCTTTTGTAGGTTTATCCTGGTGTTGTTTATTGGTCCCATTGTAAGGATTTTCATTTTCTTTATGTCTAAATCCTAGATGGACTATTTTCTTGCCCACATTTTCACACAGCTGTTCTGAACAATTGTTTAAATACAGCTGCCTCACAACAGGTGAGACAAAATGCAAACTCTATTTTTAGTCCATAACTGATTTCCTGCCCCTCATTTTATCTTTGACTCTTGCCCCATCTCTGAACTTGAACTCTGACTTTCTGACTTTAGAGGACTCCCAGTATTCCCTAGTCCTGTTGTTGTTGTTGTTAGGTGCCAACGAGTCGATTTTGACTCATAGTGAGTCCATGTGACAGAGCAGAACTGCCTCATTGGGTTTTCTTAGCTGCAATCTGTACTAGAGCAGAACTCCAGGTCTTTCTCCCAAGGAGTCACTGGATGGGTTTGAATCTCTAACTTTTTCATTAACAGCCAATCATTTAACCGCACTTAAATATTGCACCACCAGGGTTCTTCCTCTCCTTGAAATTCTGACCCTTATCTCATCCCTGACTATTACCTGATTCCTGATATTTCTCCCATTTGGACCTCTACCAACCCCCACCCTTATCTGTCTCTGACTCATACACCCTTGATAACCAGAGATAGGATTGACAATGGAATAAAGATCAGAGTTGGAGTGAAGCTCACAGATGGAGTGGAAATGCCCTATTTACTTATTTTTAAGAAGCTGAACATGTACCGAGTAATTTTGGAGCCAAGTCCCAATACTCTCATGTCATAATAGCTGCAAAAAACTGGCTCTATTAAAATAGCTGTATGCGAAGAACTGAGAGTCAAGATGTCACCTGCTTCTGGCACGTGACATTAGTATTCTTTTGCGTGGCCTTGCCTTCTGTCTGCTTTATTCTAGTATGTGGTTCTTCAGAAGAGGTGCCAACACTAGAGCCGTTTTGTATCCTGCTGTTCCTAGTGAAGACGATGTAGGTGCCACAGATATAAACTCATCCAGAAGCCGAACAGGATGCTAATGGCATAACCACGTGTTTCCACCTCCCATGAGACAGCCATGCTGGCATTTGTCCTCTCCTTCCCGCCCCCATCCACCCACAAGCTCTGGTTGGGTCAAAAAAAATGCAGTTCTTTGATGGTGCCAGACAGCCAGATGATGCTGGAAAGAAGAAAGCAAAAGCAAAAGCAGATTTCTAAATTAAGCACAAGGTTCGTTTATAAAAATAAATAGCCACAGCCTAGCAACGTGCTTACAGCTCAGCTTCCCTCTGTGATGAAACCCCTGTGGCCAGTATTGGATGACACAGCCCTCAGAGGCCTCATGCCCAGCCCCTCCTGGTTCATAGAACTTATTTGGAGAGCAGTGACATAGTTATCAAGTAACCAGTGTGTGGTGTGTACAAGCTGGGTACTGGACATTCAACGGCAAGCCTAGCAGACATGGTGTCAAGGACAGACTCTTGCACTTAAATATAGCATATCAAGGAACTTCATCTGCTTTTGCTTCAGGTGTATTACTTACCATCAAGAAATCACAGGTGTTTGGGGCTTCATCAAGTTTGGAACTCTGATTTCCTCTGCTCCTCGGGAGCCTGGCCCTTGATTGAATGATATGTTCAAATGGATCAACCTCATTTGAGGCTGAACAGAATATGGTTTTACCTTGACTTCTGGAGTGTCAAGAGATGAACCAAGCTGAGCAGAGCTGAACTATCAGGTATCAGAGCAATTGATTAAGACAACAAGCGAAAATGGAAGTCTTTAATGGCTTATGGACATATGTAAGCAAGGGGCTAAACAGGAGAAATTGCTGGCTTCCCCAGTATTCCGTTTTTCCTCATGGAATAGTGTCAGTATTGGTCAGCTGGATTAGCACAAACAGGAGAAATTATCTTATTGCCAACGAAGCCCCCAGGCCAAAAGCTCTTGTAGTTTTGTGGGGCTAAGAGGAAAGGAAAAGGCTAGGGGTAGAAAAGTACTGAGTACTGACTCAGTTGAGAAAAACATCTTCAAGTTTCCCCTAAAAACAGAACCAAACAGATTCAGATTCATGGTAGCTCCATGTGCGTCAGAGGAGAGCTGCCCTGTAGAGTTTTCTTGGCTATAAACTTTACAGAAGCAGATTTCCAAGCCTTTCTTCCATGGTACTACTGGATCAGTTCGAACTGCCAACCTTTAGTAAATCGAAAAAACAAACTCACTGCCATCAAGTTGGACCCGACTCATAGCGACCCCTCCTTGGGTTTCCGAGGCAGTATCACTACGGAAGTAGATTGCCCAACCTTCCTTCTGAACCTTTAGTAGTTGAGCTCAAACCATTTGTACTACCTACATCCCATAAGGTCTTTGCAGAGGCACCTGAAGAAAGCCTCAGCTGTGGACCCCTCCAAAACAGGGCTCCATATGGAGGTGCCTATACTAGAAATGCAGATATTCTTAAAAGCAGTACTAGTCAGGGGGGCCTGAGTCCTTGACTGCAATTCCCTTCAGAGTCTGCAGTGCACTGGCTGTGTACCAAGTCTGGTTGAGGAGGCAGCTTTCCCCCTGAGGCCTGCCAGGTAAAGCCTTTGTAATTGCCTATGGTCAGGCCTGAAAGATCACACATAGGTTTTCAGCCAGAAGCCAGACTGCTCAGTTGGAAATGTGGTTCCTGTTTCCTGTGAGGGTTCCATATATTTCCCCAGTGATTAGAGAGAGAGTGGGCCAGGACAGCATGTCAAAGTCATGAATTACCATCTCATAGCAGGGGCTCTCAGTTATAATATTGAAAAGATCAGAGAAATTGGCCCACCACAGTATTCAAAAATATGAATACTGGCCAGAAACAGTAAAACTACATCCATGTGAGTAAGAAGAAGGTTCTTAATTAAATTCAAATGTACAAGAATACAGAACAGGTCTATTTTTGGAACAATGATCTGTAGGGGACAAAAAAAAATCTAAACAGCAACAAAATGGCACAATAGCATCCAGCTTCACATAACAATACAGCAGAAAAGCCTGGATCATCCTAGATTCCTAGATCATTTCAAGCCCACAGCCTCTCAGACCACCAAAGCTATGGCGCCAGAGCATTCAGGAAGAGAGGCTCCTGGCAGTGACTTGTTTGTGATATGACCACAGAGGATATAGGCTTGAGTAGAGAGCAGCATCATCAGAGGGAAAGCACACAGACAGATCAGGCTATTACCAAATCTACAGGGACATCTCTTCGGTGGCCTTAAGGGAGTTTCTCTCCACAACAAGTGAATAATGTCATACATATCCTCAGGCCTCTGCTCCAGCCTGGTGACACACAGTGCATCCTATCAGTCTCTGATGATCCTCACTCAGGGCTCCCACTGCTCAGTAATGAGACCACATTGACCCCCATCTCTATAGAGATTACAGACATTCATGAATACTGGGTCCATGACTCATCTCAGTTGTCTTAACTACTTAGAAACTCAGTGTCCTCATAAATAAAATGAGGAGAATAGAAGTGATCCTATCTACCTCCAAAAGTTGTGTAATGATCAAATGAAACACTACATGTTCAAGTGCTTCTCAGCCTGCAACCTATTGCTCTCTGTTACAATGTGTATACATCATAAGGGTATGCAATGAAGTTTGCTTTTGATGTGAGACATGAGATTTCCATTGTCACAAATTTTAGAATGCCACCTCATTCTCAGTGTTTTAGGATTTGGTTGGTTCATCCTGGTCATAATACATTTGTGTTTTCATGGTAGAATTCTCACCTTTCATGAGGGAGACCCAGGTTCAACTCCTGGCCAATGAACCTCATGCAAAGCCACCACTTACCTTTCAATGGAGGCTTACATATTGCTGTGATACTATACTGAACAAGTACAGCGGAGCTTCCAGATTAAGATGGGCTAGGAAGGAAGATCTAGTGATCTACCTAAAAATTAGCCAACCATGGTATCCAATGATGGCTAATCACAATGGACTGATCTCATTGTGCATGGGGCCACAATGAGCTGGGGTTCAACTCAATGATAGCCAATAACAGCAACAATCATAACTTATTTTTACAGAGACCCCTGGCCTATTCCTTTGGCTCCCCATACCAAAGACAACTAATATTTTAAATTTTTTTTGTAATTGCTCCTCTTCTCTCACAATCCCTAAATGAGTACTAGAATTCTAGAATGTATGAGACCTAAGGGGCTTAAGTAATCTACACCTTCACTTTACATGGAAGCATGGGGCTCAGAAAGGTTAGGCACTCACCTGAGGTCACCTTGTCTTCTGCTCCCTCACTGCCTGTGTTGGCTGCCCTCCTTTGAGCACCATAGCTAAGTTAGGTGCTTCCCCACCTCCATCATAGCTACATTTCTCCACCTTCGAATGAATAAATATCACTTAATCCAGGTGTGGTGGTTAAATTTGTATGTCAACTTGGCTGGGCCTGGTTGAGTGGTTGGGCAGTGGTTCCCCATGATGACACTGGCAATCAACTCCATGGTGGGATCTACCACAAGCAGCTGAGTAGCTGCCTTTGGAATGTGGTCTGCTTCCTGAATATAAGGAGAAGCCTTGGGGATAGTCTCTAGTTTATGGCATGCTTGAACTATGCTGTGTCGTTGTTCAGCAGCCTGCCATGCTCTGCTGACCTTGAGACTTGCAATGGACTTGAATTAATAGCCTGCTGTGTGGTTTGGTAACATCGGGCGTGTGTCGACCTTGAGTTTGTCAGCCTCAGCAGCCAGCATTTGTCTGAGTGAAGAAATGTCTCTAGCTTCAGTGGGCTGGGAGCAGGAGGCAGAGCTGGACCCCAAGGTTGAGGGGCTTTCACCCAGCCCCTAGAGCCTGGCACTTTGAACTTGGACTTAAAGCCTTCAAATTGTAAGAGAATAAACTCCTGTTTGTTCAAGCCATCCCATTTGTGGTATATTCCTGTCAGAGCAGCACTAGGTAACCAGAACACCAGGTATGCTATTCAGGATGTGGGGAGTGGAAAGCAGGAGGAGGGTGGGAGATTGAGGACCAGTGGTTATTAAAGAATGGAAGTGTCAAAGATGAAAATTTCATACTCTATTAGGAGTGAAAGAAAAGAAGTTTTATTGAGAAATAATGCAGCTCAAGCTGGACAATGCTAAGTAAAAATACAAAGCACCTGCAATTCAAATGGAGAGAGGGGTTTATATACATAGAGAACAAAGGAAGAATAGGCTATTAATCATTTATTAGAGATAAGATCAGCTTCACCTTGAAGTCCTTTGTGAAATGTCAAGGTCAACCACTTGGCTAGGCGGGAGTGAGTTACCACCTAGGTGAGTGGTTTCAGCCAGTTCTGTTACACATGATTGCAGACATAATCACAATGTTCCCGGGAACAAACTGTTTACATCTTGACACATTTTTCCCATGAACAAATGGTTTACATCCTGACCTTTTGCTTCCTGGGAATGCATGTTGGCCCCATAATTCTTATGTCTGACATGAATGCCTCCAGTTTGAAATTTTTCTATTTAAATATTCCCCTTTTGATCAAACCTCTGCTAGGGGTCACTGATCACCAACAGTGGAGTGGCCTTTCTTCTGCAAGGACATTTTGTGTTTTCTTGAGGAGCTTTGGTTAATAAAAATTATTTTCTTCACTTTGCTGAGCTAATAGGCCTCATCTTTTGGGTGAGTAGGTTCTATGAAGAATATCTTAATGGACAAGGCCACATTTGAGGAACATTTCTCAGGACAGAATGATAGAGGTCAAGAAGAAACATTCCTGGGGAGACAAAAAGTAGGTGATTATAAAACATAATCATTGGTGATATGAGTGGAATCTTCAATATTGCTGCTAGGGTGAATTTTAAAAGGACATTTCAGGCAAAAGTTTATTTGCTGTTGTTTTAGGGGAAAAGGTAAGTTCAGATAAAGTGTTATCAGAGGAGTAGGAAGGCAAAGAAGGGTATAAAGAGATAGCAGCCAGCAGGACAGCAAAAGAGGTGGAAGCTGAAATTTCACATTGTAATTCTTTATTCTGCTTAGTTAATTTAGAGACAATGTTCTGCAAGTCTGCAGTTTTACTGTCTTGGTGACTTTTAGAGGCCTCA